TATTGATATATGATATATAATACATTATAACTATACTAAAAGGAATAAAGAGAGAAGTTGCAGAGCTGCTAAGCTAAGCTAAGAATAGAAAGAATCTTTAACAAAGTTCTGTGTCTCGGGAATCTTTCCCGAGCTTGCTCCTGTGATTGGCCCTTAACGGTACCCATGGAACATGAACCAATCACAGGTGCATCTTATTGCATTTCACAGCAGCTGATAACAATTGTTTACGTTCTCTTCTGGGGCCCTTGCTTCCCAGAAGATGCACAAATCTGAAAGAAAAGATTTCTATGAAAAAATGTCTGCGACACTCCAGCAGGTGCAGTGAAAATTCCCCTGTCCCAGTGCTGTGGAGTGAGGCGTGCCCTGAGAGCCCGCTCAGCCACAGAGAGGAGCATTCAGAGAGGAGCATTCCTCACCTGCAGCTCAACCTGTGGCCCTGGATTCTCTCATTCTCAGTGCCCTTCGCGCTGCTGCACAAATTCCTGCCAATCCCTTCACTCCTTGCTGGTGCTCTGGAACTTTTAGAGAATTTTTGTGCCTTCAGTGCTGAATTCAGGCTCTTGAAATCAACCCTTTGGAGGTGTGCTGCTGTGAGGTCCGTGCAGCATCGGCAGCTCTGTGCCACCATCTGAGGGTGCAGCAATGCTGCCCAGGGGATGATTTTCCTGCCTGGGCAGCTCGGGGAGGGCTGTGTGACACCGGAGCAGGGGCTGGGCTCAGCTTTCCGCTCCCACAGAGATAAAGGGCTCGGGCTGCTGGGGAAGGGAGGGCCCTGCTCCCGGCAGATCCCTGCGCTGATTGCAGAGCTCGGAGCTGGGCTGGGGGGCCCAGAGGAAGCTGCAGTCACTCCTCAGCAGGAAGGGAAATGACCACATGGGAGGGTGGTTAGAGCAAGGGGGCAGGGGACGAAGGGAAAATGCTCTTTGCCACTCAGGGGTTGCTCACAGGGCAGGGGGGGGGGGTCTTAAAAGTGACATTCAGCTTTTCCCAGGGTGCTTTTCGTGCCTCTTTTGATGGATGTTTTTAACCCAGCACAATGGTGTGGTTTATTGCAGCCCTTTGTGTGGTTTATCTGAGCCCAGTAAATGCTCGGATCACTTGAGCACTGTGCCTGGCCTTGCACTACAGAGATGATCCCATGGAGAGGCCTGGCTCAGATATTCTGGATATGATATCCTGATATCCTGATATTCTGATATCCTGATATTCTGATATCCTGACATTCTGATATCCTGATATTCTGATATCCTGATATTCTGATCCTGATATCCTGACATTCTGACATTCTGATATCCTGATATCCTGACATTCTGATATTCTGATATCCTGATATTCTGATATCCTGATATCCTGATATTCTGATCCTGATATCATGATATTCTGATATTCTGATATCCTGATATCCTTCCACTTGGATTTTTAAATGTTGATACTCCAGGACTGCCTTGTTGTATGTAAACATGTTAATCCAAAATCCTCTTTGGGATTTTGGGAAGTGAGAATGTCTTGGAGCAGGAAATAGGGGGGAATTAAGAGATTATTGTGGGGATTTTTTATCATGAATCTCTGGTCTGGCCAGCTTTGTGCTATCAGTGTTTTCTTCAGGCTAATTCTGACTATAAATGCATTCTCTCCCAGCCCATAAGTGGAACAAAGCTGCCATGTGAGGCACGTCCCCAGGTGTCCCTGTCCCTGCTGCCCCACCGGATCCGCTGACCTTGTGCAGCACAGGAAAGCCAGGCCCAGGTGCTCTCACATGGTCCCACCCCAGGGGCTGCCCCGTGTTTGTCACAGCAGCCCCAGCACGTGGGGGACGCAGGAACACAGCTGGGACCTTGGAAAAAGGGATGGAGATGAGTTTGTTTGCTTCCAGGCTGGCAGAACAGGAATTCCTGAGCTGCATTTGTGCCCCAGCCCAGGGCCAGCTGCTGACGTGGTTCCCTGTCCTCGTGAGCTGCTCCTGCCCTGCAGTGACATCTGAAGGGACAATCCTGCTCCGTGACCTGCTCAGGTTTGTTTCCTGATGAGATTCTCCTGCTCCATGCCCTGCTCAGGTTTGTCTCCTGATGAGATTCTCCTGCTCCGTGACCTGCTCAGGTTTGTTTCCTGATGAGATTCTCCTGCTCCATGACCTGCTCAGCTTTGTTTCCTTTTGAGATTCTCCTGCTCCATGCCCTGCTCAGGTTTGTTTCCTGATGAGATTCTCCTGCTCCATGACCTGCTCAGCTTTGTTTCCTTTTGAGATTCTCCTGCTCCATGACCTGCTCAGCTTTGTTTCCTTTTGAGATTCTCCTGCTCCATGCCCTGCTCAGCTTTGTTTCCTGATGAGATTCTTGCAAGGAATTAAGGACCCAGTTCCTGTTGCCCTGATTTTTTAAGGTTTTCTAAGCCTACTGATGTTGACATTCTTGTAGCAAACTTCCTCACACCCTTTGTGTAAATAACTGATTGTTTGGCATTCTTTTATAGGAGAAGAAAAATTTGATGGGCTGCTGGTTTGTCCAGTGTCATTGGAGAGGGGGCACTGTCACCCTCCAATCCGCTGTCACTTTGAGAAAACTAGAAATGTTGGAGTCAGAAATAAACTTCCCTTTTCTTCACCCTGAGAGCAGCAGTGTGTGCTCGTGTTGTTTCGTGTCCTGCAGTGACAATTCCCTCAGGATCCTTGCTGGGGCTCCACTGAGGCTGTGGTGGAGCCAGGACAGGGAGCAAAGGCACCTCCCAGGGCACTGACACTTCTCTATCAGGATTTTTAAGTGATTTTGGCCAAACTGGATTTTCCTGTGAATTCCTGAGGCCGCTCCTGCATGCTGGGCACTTCAGCAGTGCCAGCGCCCCGTGGGCACCACATTCCAGGGGACATTCCAGCATCCAGCACAGCTCAGTGCTCAACTCCTTCCTTTCCAAAGGTTTTTTGTTGCCTTTGCTACCTGCTCCCTGCAATTGGAAACCCAATTTCCTGCCCTTTCATCCTCTGCTTTTTTTTGATCTCAGCCTCGCTGGGGGAGGTTTTATCTATTTCTGTTTGCTTGTCTCAGGCAGCTTTTGTCCCCACAGTTTCCACTTCCTGATCCGCAGCTGGGGAGCAGTGAGGTCACATTTGGGTGCATTTGTTGTTTTTGGGGAGGTGAGGGAGGAACTGGAGGCTCCATCCTGGGGGAGGGGTGGATTTTGTGAGTCAGGAAGGAAAGGTGAAGGTGGAAGCAGAGCCTTGCAGCCAGGTTTGGACAAAGGAGGAAGGAGGGAGGGTTTGGAGCTGCATGGAAGGTGGCTGTGGCTGGAGTTGTGGCTGTGGGTGTCTCCAGTTTTCCATGAGGTTTCTTTGCTGCTGAGAATGAGTGAAATGACCCCAGAGGCTCCTCATCCCTGAAATCCCAGAATCCCTGGATGGTTTGGGTTGGAAGGGATTTTACACCCCTTCCTTTCTAGGGAAGGAGTTTTTCTAGACCCCTTTTGGGGTCTATTCCACCCCTGCCATGGCAGGGACACCTCCCACTGTCCCAGGGTGTTCCAAACCCTGTCCAGCCTGGACTTGGGATGCAGGGGCAGCCTCAGCTGCTCTGGGCACCTCCCAGGGAGGAATTCCTTCCCAAATCCCACCTAACCCTGCCTCTGGCAGTGGGAATCCATTCCCCTTGTCCTGTCAGTATAAAAAATCCCTTCTCAGTGCTGCTCTCTCTGTGCTGTTCTGCTCCACATGTTCCTCTCATCCTCTTCTCCAAAAACACCAAACCTTCCAGGAGAACACCTCTCTGTGCCCAGTTTGTGACGGGAGCAGACAGAACTGGAGCAGCTTTGGGTCACGATAAATCCCTGCCTCTGTTTCCTTGAGGAATGAGTGAAGCCAGCAGCTCCAGGCAGGCTGAGTCCCTGTGTCCATGTGGGATTGTGCCCTCCCCTTGCCCCCCACATTTCCAGTGTCCCTCATTGGCCCAGATGGTGTCCCCAAGGCCCCAGGCTGGGCTCACACCACCCCCCTGAGCAATAACTCGCTGCTGCCTGTTTCCTGGGAGGAAAGGAAAGGCAGGAAGGAAAAACAACGGCTCAAAATTTCCACTCATGACAAGAAAAAAAAAAAAAAAAAAAAAAAAGGGAAATAAAAGGAAAGCATGAATCAGAGGAGCTGGTTCATTCAGGAACACAGAACTCCACAGAGCAACAAGGACCTGACCTTTGTAGCAGGAGTTTTTGTGCTCTTTATTTATTTGTTGTGGGACAGTTTGGCATAAACACAGGAGGAGTACGTGACAATATTGTGAGCTTCTGTTCAGAGCCTGGCAGAGGCCTGGAACCCAGTGGTGCTCCTTGGGCTGGATCCAGCTGTGTGTCCCTGGAGGGGGTCCCTGGAAGCCCCCCTGGGGGTGGCATCGCTGGGGTGCCACCTGTGAGCTCCCTGTCCCCAGCGGGGCACAACGAGGCTTCCACATAGAGGGACCCACGGAGAGCACAGGTGAGAGCAGGGAAACCATGGGGGGATGGATGGAGGGATGATGGATGATGGATGGATGGATCCATGGATGGATCCATGAATGGATCTCTGGATAGAGGCATGGACGGATGGATGGACAGATGGATGGATCCATGGATGGATGGATGGATGGATGGATGGATGGATAGATGGATGGATAGATCTCTGGATAGAGGGATGGATGGACGCATAGAGGGATGGACAGATGGACAGACAGAAGGATGGATGGAAGAATGGACGGCAGAGTGGACGGAAGGACAGAAGGACGGCAGCACGGACAGACAGACGGACAGACAGACTGACCGCTCCCGCCCGGTGCGGGCTCAGCCGCACGTGACCCACAGGCCCCGCCCCCGCGCCGCCAAAGGGGCGTGGCCTATCCGCACAGCGGGGAACGCGCTCCGCGCCGGGGGCGGGGCCAGACGTGACGCCACGCGGGCCGGACCAATGGGAGCGCGGCGCGGCGGGGCGGGCGCGGTCGCCATTGGCCGGCGGTGATGTCAGGGCGGCGCGGGGCGGGGCCCGGCGGGGCAGAGCGCGGGGCGGCGGAGGAGCCGCGGGTGCGCAGCGGGAGCGGAGCGAGCGGCACCGGGCGGTACCGGCACGGCGGGGACTCGGTACCCGCACCGCGGGGCACGGCGGGGACACGGGCGGCGGTACCGTGGGGACCGGCCGGGGGCAGCCCCGCTCCGGAGCTGGCGGCTCGCGGGGCGCTGCGGGAGGCGGGAGGAGCCCCGGCCGCGGGGATCGCCCTGCGGGTCCCTCCCGGTGCCCGCATCCCCCGGCTCAGCCGCTGAGGGTGCCCGGGGGAGAGGTGGGGGTACGGCGAAGGTTGGAGGGAGCGGATGGAGCGGCTGCCGCGGGACCCCCCGGAATATCGGCTTTCCCCCCGTGTGTTTCAGGTGACGGGCGAGCTGTCGGGAACGCGCGTTGTGTGCCAGGCTGCCCCAATGCCAGCCCCCACCCTGCAGCCCGGCCGGCTCCGTGAGTAACCAACCCTCGCTGGGAGCTGCTGTTGGTGCGAGTAACAGGAACTGTGCTGGCCTCGTGCTGCTGGGGAAGGAGGAGGAGGAGGAGGAGGGCGGCGGTGACACTCGCAGCCTGCTGGAAGCGCTGGCTGTGCTGGCTGAAAGCCGCAGGAGCCTTCGGAGGGGAATCCTGCAGAGGGGACGGTGCTGCTGGCAAAGCCCTGGCAGCCAGAAGAGCCTGAGCGGGATCATGTCTGAAAGCCAATCCTCTCCTTCAGTGTTCCTTTAAGTTTCAGCATCCTTTACTTCGTCTATTTTTCCCTCTGCCCCGTCACATCTGCTGGAAGAAATCTGGGAGGAGATGCACTAAGGCATCACAGATCTGGGGAGGAGAGCTCGGATCGTGCACAGGGCGCTGGAAGAGAGCAGAGCCAGGGGGAACTGAGCCATTCCCAGCTGCTGCCGTGTCCCCTGTGCTCCGCGTCCCTGCTTGATGGGGATCGCTGCCGCAGCAGCAGGCTCCGCACTCCCGGGCGGGCGAGCAGCGCTGGCACAGCTCCCTCCTGGATGCTGGCAAGGCCGTGTGGATAAGCTGCTGGCAGAAGATCCCTCCTGGAGCAGCTGCTGGCTGTAGGCCCAGCGAGCCAAGGGTCGGGAGAGCGTGTCCTGCAGCATGACATCCACGCTGGAGCCCAAGGATCCCCCCCAGGCCAACGGGGACTGCGGGCAGCCCGCGGGGCCCGAGCATTTCCTGCGGCCCGAGGGCACCGCCGTGGACCTGGTGGTGCTGGAGTCCCGAGCCAACGCCAAAGGGGTGAGGGAGGAGGATGCTCTGCTGGAGAACGGCAGCCAGAGCAACGAGAGCGATGACACCAGCACGGAGCGGGGGCCTGAGCCCCCCTCGCCCCTCAAGGAGACCTCGTTTTCCATCGGGCTGCAGGTGCTGTTCCCCTTCCTGCTGGCTGGATTTGGCACGGTGGCTGCTGGGATGGTGCTGGACATCGTGCAGGTATGGCTGGGGTGGGGCTGGACATGGTGCAGGTGGGGCTGGGATGGTGCTGGACGTGGTGCAGGTGGGGCTGGGATGGTGCAGGTGGGGCTGGGATGGTGCAGGTGGGGCTGGGATGGTGCTGGACATGGTGCAGGTGGGGCTGGGATGGTGCAGGTGGGGCTGGGATGGTGCTGGACCTCCTGCAGTTATGGCAGGACATGGTGCAGGTAGGGCTGGTGCTCCCCTGGCACTCTGCAGGGCTGGGTGGGATAAAGGAATAATAAAGGAATAATAAAGGAATGCCAAGGCTGCAATGAAGGAATGCCAAGGCTGCTTCAGCAACAAGGAGAGGGAGAACAGTTTATCCCTGGTGTGCTGGCTGGGGAGGCAGAAATGGGGGAGCCCTCCAGCTCCTTGTCCCAGCCCTGGCTTTGTAAAGCTCAGTTAAATTAATGAGATGGACGAGAAGTGAGGAATGAAGGAAGGAGAGGGCTCAGAGAAGGTGCAGCCTGGGAGCTGAGACAGCTGGGGACAAAACCCTTCCCTGCTGCTGCTGCCTGGTGCCACCCCAGCCCTGGGACACCCCAGGTGCCACCCCAGCCCTGGGACTGGCTCCTTTGTCCCTTTCCCACTCAGGTGCTGGCTCTGCCAGGTTAATGCTTCCCTGTGTGTGTGCCAGGCTCATTCCAGAGCTGCCTGCACCATTCCTTGTGCTTGGAGCCACCCAGACATGACAGGGTGCTCCCCTGACACAGGCTGTGCTGGTGACTCTTAGGAAAGGCCAGCAGGGAGCTGGCAGCTGCCCCTGGGTGAGAACCGAGGTGTTCCCTGTGGGAATGTGCCAGCCTGGCTGTGTTGGCATGTGGGAACGCTGCCTCTGCAGCCTGAGCTGCTCCCACCACGTCCCCCAGGCGTGCCTGGCAGCAGAGCAGCTTCTCCTGGGCAGAGCCTCCATCCCTGGGGCGCAAACTGGGCTTTGGGATGGGGACACGTCCATTTGGGCAGCACAAACTGGGCTTTGGGATGGGGACACGTCCGTTTGGGCAGCCAAAACTGGGCTTTGGAGGGGGACACATCCATTTGGGCAGCCCAAACTGCTCAGCCTGGAGCTGCTGGGCTGGGCGAACAAGGCCTGGTGGTGTGGGCAGCGCGAGGCTCCGGTGCCAGCCCCAGTGCCAGGAGGGCAGAGGGTTTGTTTGGGGTTTGTGGGTGCTGTCCTGCCCACAGCAGCAGTTTCCCCGCGTGCCTTTGAGCTCTGCTCATCGTGGTGGGACCTGCCGGGACAGCTGGGAAGGGACTCCAAACAGGAAAGGCTGGACGGGGGAAATTATTCCAGAATAGCTTTACTGGAATCGTTTTCTGAAAAAAAAAAAAAAAAAAAAAAGGATATTTCAAGCGTGTTTTCCCTTCATAATGTCCCTGCCTGGCTCTGCTGGAAGTTCCCCAAAGTGATTTGAGCCCAAGCTAAAGTTTTTCCTGGAGCAGGCGCTGCCCTTGCGGGCAGTGTTGACACATGGTGTTCATAATGTCAGCTCTCATCTTTCATACTCCAAACTGCGCTGAAGTCTTCAGCACTTCCACAGTTTTTGTCAGCAGTTATTTGCAATTCAATCAATTACACAATTAATTATTCCTTGATAAAGTTCAACTTCAGGATGCCCTTTTAGAAAATCAGGATTTGAAGGAACAACAGAAATTTGGGAGCTACAATAGAAGGGCTGGGAGGCTCTGGCTCAGCTCCGTGTTCTGGTTCCTGTGGCCTTTAGGAGTAAAACTTTGTAATTCCTGTGGAATTCCCAGAGCAGCTCAGCCTGTGCTGCCAGCAGCTCCAACTCCCTTTAGCCTTGGAATTCAATTCCCATGGCTGGGAAGGGGGATGGAGGATTTTTCCAGAACCTCCCAGGTCCCAGAACACCAGTGCTGCATGGGATCCTGGGCAGAAGGATTTATATTTATATTCATATTCATATTCATATTTTTGCTATTTTATTGTTACTATTATTTTATTATTTCATTATTATATAATAAAGGCTATAAGCCTTTGCTGTGTCTTGCAAATATATATATAATATTATATTATTACACTATATAATTATTATGTTATATTATATTGTATTACATTATATTATATTATTCTATATTAGATATAATTCTATAATGTATAATATATATTATAAATATAAAAATATATTCTATATAGAAAAAATTATATATTATATAAAATATATATTAATATATAACATATAAGATATATATTATATATATTATATATTTTCCATATATAGATAAAATTTATAAAATAAATATTTGATATATAAAATTTTATATAGGAAAATTTATATATTTTAAAAATTTTATTATTATGCATTATTATATTAATATCTTATTATATTAATATAATAGATATAATTATATAGGTATATAATTATATATATAATTTCACATGTAATTTTTATATTTATAAAATTTTATTATACTATATCGTTATTATATGAATATATTATTTTATTATAATATATAATTCTATAATGTATATAATTATATATAGTTTAAATATATATATAAAGTTTTTATATATATCTGTATATATCTATATATCTATATATATCTATATCTATATATATCTACATCTATATATCTATCTATATATATACATACATATATACATGCATATATACATACATATATACATACATATATATACACACATATATAAACATACATATATATACACACATATATATACATATATATATACATATATATACATATATATATATATAAATAAAAGGTTTTTATATATATATATATATTTGCAAGACACAGCAAAGGCTCTCAGCTGAGTCTGACCAAACTCCAGCACTCAAATCTGCCAAAAGCTGCAAGAATTGGGCAAAGCCTCTCCGTGTTTCCCTGTTCTGGCCTCTGTGTGTGTGTGAACATTTTGTCACCGGGGGATTTTCAGTGGCAGTTGCTGGCTCAGGGCTGTTTCTCAGCCCGGCAGGAGCTGTGCTCGCTGCTGCAAATGTCACAGGGGGAGTCCCAGAGTGGCAGCAGGGAGGGCACTGGGGGTGCTCAGGGCAGGGACAGGGGGCACAGGGAGGGTGGCACTGAGCCAGAGGCAGGGCTGGCACCAGCCACGGTGAGATGGGCTGGGTTTGTTGAGGGTGTTTGGGTGAGAAATGTTGGTTTCATTGAATGTGGTTTGGTGAGATTGGCTGGTTTTATTGATGTGCTTTGGTCAGAGATGTGCTGGTTTTATTGACTGTGCTTTGGTCAGAGATTTGCTGGTTTTATTGAGTGTGCTTTGGTGAGATTTTCTGGTTTTATTGAATGTGCTTTAATGTGAGACTGGCTGGTTTTATTGAATGTAATTTGGTGAGATTGGCTGATTTTATTGGGTGTACTTTGGTCAGAGATGAGCTGAATTTATTGAATGTGCTTTGGTAAGATGGGCTGGTTTTATTGAATGTGGTTTGGTGAAATTTGCTGGTTTTATTGAATGTGCTTTAATGTGAGATTGGCTGGTTTTATTGGATGTGCTTTGGTGACATTTCCTGGTTTTATTGAATGTGGTTTGGTGAAATTTGCTGGTTTTATTGAATGTGCTTTAATGTGAGATTGGCTGGTTTTATTGAATTTGCTTTGGTCAGAGATGAGCTGAATTTATTGAATGTGCTTTGGTGAGATTGGCTGGTTTTATTGAGTGTGCTTTGGGTGGATTTCCTGGTTTTATTGAAAGTGCTTTGATCAGAGATTTGCTGGTTTTATTGAGTGTGCTTTGATGAGATTTTCTGGTTTTATTGCATGTGCTTTGGTGAGATGTGCTGGCTTTGGTGAGGTCGGCTGGTTTCATTGAATGTCCTTTGCTGGTTTCATTGAATGTCCTTTGCTGGTTTTATTGAATTGCTTTGGTGAGATTTCCTGGTTTTACTGAATGTGCTTTAACCTTGCAGCACTGGGACGTCTTCAAGCAGGTCACTGAGGTGTTCATCTTGGTTCCTGCTCTGCTGGGGCTGAAGGGGAACCTGGAGATGACGCTGGCATCGCGCCTGTCCACAGCTGTGAGTGCCCAGGAGCTGGGGAGGGACAGGGACACCTCCTCTGTGTGTGTGTGGGAGGGTAAAACCCCCAAATTTCTCCGTGTGGGTGACCCCAGGCACCAGAGCCGGGGTCCAGCTGTGCTGGGGAGGTGTTCACACCCTGCTGGCTGGTGGGGTGTGAAGGGTTAATGGTGCTGGAGCTTTGCTGCCAGCTCAGGGGCTGTGCTGGGGTTGGCATCCAGCTGTTCCAGCAGGAGCTGGCACAGGAGTGTCCCCCAGGGGCTGGGATCCAGCTGTTCCAGCAGGAGCTGGCACTGGAATGTCCCCCCAGGGGCTGGGATCCAGCTGTTCCAGCAGGAACTGGCACTGGAGTGTCCCCCCAGGGGCTGGGATCCAGCTGTTCCAGCAGGAGCTGGCACTGGAGTGTCCCCCAGGGGCTGGGATCCAGCTGTTCCAGCAGGAGCTGGCACTGGAATGTCCCCCCAGGGGCTGGGATCCAGCTGTTCCAGCAGGAGCTGGCACAGGAATGTCCCCCAGGGGCTGGGATCCAGCTGTTCCAGCAGGAGCTGGCACTGGAGTGTCCCCCAGGGGTTGGGATCCAGCTGTTCCAGCAGGAGCTGGCACTGGAGTGTCCCCAGGGCAGGAGGGGACAGCTGGGAGTGACAGGGTCTGCAAGGATGGAGGTCACAGCTGGGTGTTTGTCCTGCTGGGATTCACCCTGGCTGTGGAGATTAACCAAAAATTGGGTTGAATCGAATATAGAATTGAATCCAATACAGGGTTGAATCAAATATAGGGTTGAATCCAATGATCTATTAGCACTTGTTTGTTTTATTTGCTTCCTTCTGCCATGCAGATGTGCCTGTAGATCAACCAAAAATCAATGTTTGGGTTGCTTTAGCCAAATCAACAGGCTCCGGTGTCATGATTTTAACCAATTGTAGCCCAGACAAAGCCTTTGTGACCTGTTTGGTGGGTGTGCCAGTGCCAATACCAAGCTGTGACGTTTATTGGTGTGAGGCTGCCAAATCCCATAACCAAATTCTGCTGGGCTCATTCCCTTCCTCTGAGCCTGCCCTTGCTGCAGGAGAAGCCACAGCAGAGCTGCACAGGGGGATCTCTGGATCCTTTCCCTCCTCCTTTTTCCTCCTCCTTTTCCTCCTCCTTTTTCCCCCTCCTTTTTCCCCCTCCTTTTTCCCCCTCCTTTTTCCTCCTCCTTTTTCCTCCTCCTTCTGCTGGGACAGAGGCTGAACTTTGTTCACCCCTTCTCTCTGAAACAAACAATCAATCAAACAAACAATTCCCTTTGTTTGTGTCCCTCTCCATTGTTGGCATCCTTGCTCTCCTGGCCCCAGGGCCCCTCTCCCTGCTGGGCTGCTCAGGGGCAGTGCTTGGGCACTGCTGTCCCTTGTGTGTCCCCTCCTGGGGCACTTTTGGGGCAGTTTTGTCGCAGGAAATGCAGAATTTTGCCCCATCCGCCCTGGGGATGCCAGCACAGGGCTCCTGTCCTGTCCCCAGAGGCTTTGCCCTCTGCCTTCCCCCCTGTGCTCCCCAAATCCTGGAATTAAAGCTGCAGACGCCCCCAGCCTGGTGGCACAGGAGGGTCTCTGCTCCCAGGTGGGTGTGGGGGGCTCCTCCCTGCCCACAGCTCACCAGGGTCGGTCCCAAAAAATTTTCCACAAAATCTCCTTGTTTATGGTTTTTCTTCTAAGAAGCTGAGAAGCTTCAGAGAAAAAGGAAGACAATAATTACCTGATTTGCTTCTCCTGTGTTTTGCTGCTTCGGAATGTGTTTGGAGATTGAAATTCGCACGAAACCAACAATTCACATGAAACCAACCACAGGTGATTGTTTCATTGGTTTAATGTGAATTATATTGGCTTATTGGTCAATCAGGGCCAAGCTGTGTTGGACTCTGGAAACAGTCACAAGTTTTCATTATTATCTTTTTAACCTTTTGTAAGTATCCTTTCTGTATTCTTTAATATAGTTTAGCATATTATTCTTTAATATAATGTTAAAAAATAATAAATTAGCCTTCTGAAAACACAGAGTCAGATCTATCATTCCTTCCCTCATCTGGGCGCCCCACAAATACAAGTGCTACATTCATGTTTTCCAAAAAATCTCTTTGTTGAAGATTTTTCTTCTAAGAAGCTTCAGAGAAAAAGGAACACAGTTATTTCGTTGGTTTTTTCTGTGTTTTGCTGCTTTGGGATGTGTTTGAAGACTGTTTATCTAACAGGTGATTGTTTAATTAGTTTAATGTGAATTGTTTTGATTTATTGGCCAATCAGGGCCAATCTGTGTCAGACTCTTTCCACAGTCACAAGTTTTTGTTATTATCTTTTTAACCTTCTGTAAATATCTTTTTTGTATTCTTTAGGATAGTTTAGTATATTATTCTTTAATAGAATATAAAAAAATAATAAATTAGCCTTGTGAGAACATACAGTCAGATCTATCATTCCTTCCTTCATCTAGGCACCCCACAAATACAATACAAGTGTTACATTCATATTTTCCAAAAAAACTCTTTGTTCAAGATTCTTCTTCTAAGAAGCTTCAGAGAAAAAGGAACACAGTTATTTCATTGTTTTTTCTGTGTTTTGCTGCTTTGGGATGTGTTTGAAGACTGTTTATCTAACAGGTGATTGTTTAATTAGTTTAATGTGAATTGTTTTGATTTATTGGCCAATCAGGGCCAAGCCTTGTCAGACTTTTTCCACAGTCACAAGTTTTTATTATTATCTTTTTAACCTTCTGTAAATATCCTTTCTGTGTTCTTTAGGATAGTTTAGTTTAGTATTCTTCAATACAATATATTAAAATAATAAATTAGCCGTCTGAAAAGAGTCAGATTTATCATTCCTTCCTTTGTCTGGGCACAAATACAACCCCAAGCTCTCTCCACAGCCTGGAGCCCTTTCTCAGGCTTTGGGTTCCTAATTAGTGCTGCCTTGGGGCACCTCAGAAATCCCTTTCACAATTAAGAGGCCAAACTCCCCCATTAGTTAAAGGATTAAGGGAGGTTATGCTAATCCCAGCCTAATTGCCATGGCGCTGGAATTTTAAGGTCAGGCTTCTTATGGAGCTCAGATTGCTCTGCTGGATCTGCTGCTCCGCTTTTTGTTGCTTTTCCCCCATTCCTTCCCCCTCTGTGCCCAGAATTTGCCCCAGAGGTGGGAGCATCTCGGTAAAGCACATCCAGCAAGGAGAACAGGGGGATTAATTATCAATTAATTAATCAAATTAATCCATCTGGATTTATTATTTTCCACCTGAGAGCAGGAAATTGCTGCTGTTTTGCACAGGTTTGAAGAAGTTTAGGATGCGGTTCTGTAGGTTTTTGTGTCATAGCATGATTAGCTAAGAAAGCTCACACTGCAGCATGAGTCCATAAGATGAAATATTTAAAGAATGGGTCAAAAAGCACAAATATCCTTGTTGGCAGTGTTCTAATGGTCAATAAATCCTTAAAAAGTCTTGTAACTAGAGGTTTTGAGGGCTTCTGAGCCATGCAGTGAAGATGTGAGCTGAACTCACCCTTCCTGTAAAAAATAAGGAAAATAAATCCCATCATCTAAAAAAGTCAAAGATCCCTTCTCTAACTCCTTCAAAATTTAAAATGTATTCCTTCAAAATGCATTTCCCACTCCAGTGTTTGAGCCTCTCCCTTGTTTGCTGAGTTCATCAGCTTCTAATGATGCAAATTGGGTATAAATTTACCCAGTTTGGTAGAAATTGACCCATTCTTCCCATAAAGACCCCGGAGGTGGCGGGAGGAGCAGAGCTCATGCCCTGCAGCGATTCCTCTGCCTTATTTTGGACCCTTCACCAGGAATTAAAGCCATTTCCACCTCCTGCCCTGGTTGGTGTCCCCCGCACTGATATTCGCTGGGTTATTTTTCAATCCTGCCCGCCCTGCTCAGGCTCTCCCGGTGCCAGGTGCCCCCTGTGCCAGGGCTGGCGGCTCCCCTGTGTCCCCACGTGTCCCCAGCCTTGTTTGCTCAGCTTTTCCCGGAGCTGGAGCTTTCCCTGGCGGTGCTGCTGACCTGGGGCAGCCTGACCCAGCCAGGGCCAGCACACGAAATGCAGTTTGTGGCTGCAGGGGTGCCATGGATATATTTTATGAAATATCCTTTCATTAGGATTTTTTCTCCTGAGAAGCTGGGAGGCCTCAGGAATGAAATGCAAACATTGATTATCTGCTGCTGTGGGATGCAACAGGTGCATCTGGGATTGGTCTCATGGGGTTGTTTCTAATTAAAAATGTTTTTAATTAATGGCCAATCACAGTCCAGCTGTCTCACAAGATTTTATTATCATTCTTTTCCTTTCCTTTTAAGCCTTCTGATGAAATCCTTTCTTCTATTCTTTTAGTACAGTTTTAGTATCTCATTTTCATATGATATGATATAATGTAATGTAATATAATGTAAAATAATGTAATATAATATAATGTAATATGATATGATATACTGTAATGTAATTACAATGTAATGTAATTACAGTATAAATACAATATTAAATGTAATATAAATACAAAATAATGTAATATACACAATATATAATATAAAATATATATACAATAAATAATATATAATATAATTAATATAATATAATTAATATAATATAATATTATATTATATCGTATTATATCATATGATATGATATAATATATGATATAATATAATATGATATTATATGATATAATATGATATTATATAATGTGATATGATATGATGTAATGTAATTACAATGTAATGTAATTACAATGTAATGTAATTACAATGTAATGTAATTACAATATAAATACAATATTAAATGTAAATAAATGCAAAATAATGTAATATACACAATATATAATATAAAATATATATACAATATATAATATAATATAATATAATATAATATAATATAATATAATATAAATCAGCCTTCTGAAACATGGAGTCAAGATTCTCATCTCTTCCCTCATCCTGTGAACACCACCACGCAGGGGCACAGAGAGATCTTTTTGATTTTGCAGCATTCCCATCAGATTTTTGGTTGGTGACACCAAAATTTTTGGATTTTTGGTTGGTGTCGATTTCCCTTCGCGCTCCCTTTCCTGCTGAATTGTTCTCCTGAGGGTCTGAGTCCCCTCCTGCTCCTGGCAGGCAGGGATTTGGCTGTTGGCAGGTGCAATGGTGTCTGGTTTTCTCTTACAGGCTAATATTGGCCAAATGGATTCGCACAAAGAGCTCTGGAAGATGATTACAGGGAACATGGCTCTGATACAGGTGAGCAGAGGGCAGGGGAATATTCACGGCATTTCCAGGGATGAGGCAGCCACAGCTTCTCTGGGCAAGCTCTCACAGAATCACTGGGTTGGAAGGGACCTTGCAGATCATCGAGTCCAACCCAGCCCCAACCCCTCACCTAAACCCTGGCCCCCAGTGCCACATCCAGGCTTTGTTAAATACCCCCAGGGATGGGGACTCCACCACTGGCAGAACATTCCAGAACTTTATCACCCTTTCTGTAAAAAGCTTTTTCCTGCTATCCAACCTAAATGTCCCTTGAGGCTGTGTGCTCTGTTTGTGTCAGTGCCTGCTGACAGAGCCCAGCCCCAGCTGAGCACGGGCACCTGTCAGGAGCTGCACAGTGATGGGGGCACCCCTGAGTCTCCTTTTCTCCAGGCTGAGCACCCCCAGCTCCCTCAGGGCTTCCTCACAGGGTTTGTGTTCCATCTCCAGCCTCGTGGATGTGCTCAAGCTCTCCCCACCCCCTGGGACTGTCCTGGTGACCCTGTGCTTCCATTTCCACATCCTGTCCATGGTGGCACTGTCCTGGTGACCCTGTGTTTTCTATTTCCAGGTCCAGGCCATGGTGGGACTGTCCTGGTGTCCTGGTGACCCTGTGCTTTCCATTTCCAGGTCCAATCCATGGTGGCACTGTCCTGGTGTCCTGGTGACCCTGTGCTTTCCATTTCCAGGTCCAATCCATGGTGGCACTGTCCTGGTGACCCTGTGCTTTCCATTTCCAAGTCCAATCCATGGTGGCACTGTCCTGGTGACCCTGTGCTTTCCATTTCCAGGTCCAATCCATGGTGGCACTGTCCTGGTGACCCTGTGCTTTTTATTTCCAAGTCCAGGCCACCATGGTGGGACTGTCCTGGTGACCCTGTGCTTTCCATTTCCACATCCTGTCCATGGTGGCACTGTCCTGGTGACCCTGTGCTTTCCATTTCCAGGTCCAGGCCATGGTGGGACTGTCCTGGTGTTTTAGTGACCCTGTGCTTTCCATTTCCAGGTCCAGGCCACCGTGGTTGGCTTCCTGGCCTCGATTGCAGCCGTGGTGTTTGGGTGGATCCCAGATGGGCACTTCAGCATGGACCACGCTGTCCTGCTGTGTGCCAGCAGCGTGGCCACTGCCTTCATCGCTTCCCTGGTCCTGGGTGAGAGTCCCCCCTGTGCTGTGCCCTTCCTCCTGAAATATCAACCTCCCCTCGGCCTTATTTTGGTTTTTTTGGCCTCTTTCTGGCTGCAGGCATGATTATGATCGGGGTGATCATTGGCTCCAAGAAGATGGGGATCAATCCTGACAACGTGGCCACGCCGATCGCTGCCAGCCTGGGGGACCTCATCACCCTGGCCCTGCTCTCAGGGATCAGCTGGGGGCTCTACAAGGAGCTGGGTGAGCACCAGCAAGAGGCCCAGGCTCTGCCTGCTCCTTGCTGTGTCCCCCTCTCATTGTTCACCCTCTTCCTCTGGAATCTTCCTCGGGGTGTGTGGGGTTCCTGCCCTGGAGCTCCCTCAGTTGGGCCTGGTTCAGCTTAGGGGAGGGGATGGAGCTTCTCACTGCCTTGAACTCCTCCTCCTCCTCTCCAGGTGAGGTCTCAGGGAGAGGTTGGCACCATGCAGGAGAGAACTCAGCCTAGGGTGTACTGCAGTGCAGGGTCCATGACAGAATCTCAAGGGAAATTTAGTCAACAAAGTGATGATCTGCTCTCTAGATGAGTTTCTAACCTCTCTGTGACTCCTAATAAGCTCCCTTTTCCTCCCCTTTTCCTCCCCTTTTCCTCCCCTTTTCCTCCCCTTTTCCTTTTCCTTCCCTTTTCGTTTCCCTTTCCCTTTCTTTTCTCCTTTCTTCCCTGGTGCTCAGCCAGGTTCCTCCAGGGCTGAAGGGAGCAGCCCTGGGAGATGCTGCCCAGGAGTGGGAAGTGGGGATGAGAGCTGGGATTGCAGAGACCTCCCTGAGATCTGCTGGTGAACCCATCCAGGTGTTTCACAGGGGACAGCTGTGACAAGGAGCCACCACATCCTGCAGGCTCCAGGCTGCCCTGGATTGTCCCTGCTCCTCCTGGAGCTCCTGAGGAACGTGGCTTTGATTTTTCTGCTTCTTTTTCTGCTTCTCCCCCTGCCCAGAGAGCAGAGCCTACGTGAACCCCTTGGTGTGCGCCTTCTTCCTGTCGCTGCTGCCCATCTGGATCATCATTGCCAGGAGGAATTCTGCCACCAGGGAGGTGCTGTACTCGGGCTGGGAGCCTGTCATCATCGCCATGGCCATCAGCAGGTGAGCCTGCTCCTGTCCCTGTGCCCAGAGCCCCCCAGTGACCCCAGCACTGACTGCCCCTCTCCCCTGCAGCGTCGGGGGGCTCATTCTGGACAGGACGGTGTCGGACCCCAACTTTGCTGGCATGGCAGTGTTCACCCCAGTCATCAATGGTGAGTCCTGCCCTGCCCTGGGCTGCAGCTCTTGGCAAACTGGGGTTGGGTGGGATTTCAGGACACTCATTCTCCTCTGGGGCACACCCTGTGCCACCCTGTCACCCTCTGCTCTTGGCTAACTGGGATGGTCTGGGGCTTCAGGACACTCATTCTCCTCTGGGGCACCTCCTTTTTCCCCTTTTCTTTTTCCTCTTCTTTTCCTTTTCCCTTTTTTCCTTTTCCCTTTTTCCCTTTTCCCTTTTCCCCCCTTTCATCTTCCCCTTCCCTTCTTTTTCCCCCTTTCTTCTTTTCTTTTCCCCCCATTCTTTCTTTCTTGGTTTCTATGCCAACAACCTTGGTGGAAAATTCTTTCTGGGGTAAGCATGGATCCTTCCCCCCTTTTCTTTTTTTTTTTCCCCTTCCTTTTTTTCCTCTCCCCTTCCTTCCCCCCCGCCCCTCCTTCTTTTCCCCCTTCTTTTCTTTTTCCCCTATTCTTTCTTTCTTGGTTTCTACATTCAACAACCTTGGTGGGGAATTCTTTCAGGGGAAAACATGGATCCTTCTCCTCCCTTCCTTTTTTCCTTCCCCCTTCCTTTTTTTCCCCCTTTCCTTTTCCCCCCCCTTCTTTTCCTCTATTCTTTCTTTCTTGCTTTCTACGCCAACAACCTTGGTGGGAAACTCTTCCAGGGCTAAACAAAGGAAGAATTCCTCTTCTCAAACTTCTCTGTGGCTCACAGAAGTTCCCCTGTCCCACAGGTGTGGGTGGCAACCTGGTGGCAGTGCAGGCCAGCCGCATCTCCACCTACCTGCACATGAGTGGGGAGCCTGGAGAAGGCCCTGGCCCGGCCCCTCGCAAGTGCCCCAGCCCCTGCAGCACCTTCTGCAGCTCAGGTACAGCCTGGAGGGAGGGCTGGGTGCCAGCTGGGCACAGCAAAGGGGGCACAGCAAAGGGGGCACAGCCCTGCCCGGGTCAGGCTGGGGCTGTCCTGCCCCATCCAGGGCTCTGCTGGGGGGAAATGGGGCTGTGGGGTGGCCTGGGCTGGAAGGGGATTTGTGGGTGTCTTGGTTTGAATAGAGAGATTCTGCTATGGAAGGCAGGAAATGGGAAATATAAACCCCTCCCTCCAAATTGTTATAAATTTGAAATTAAGGGGCTCTCATGCAAAGATATGGGAATAGGAATAACAGTTCTTTATTTAATCTTGAGCTGGAAGGGGATTTGTGGGTGTCTTGGTTTGAGCAGACTAAGGAAGGCAGAAGCCTCCTCTCCTCTGAATTGTTATAAATTTGAAATTAAGGGGCTCTCAGGCAAAGATATGGGAATAGGAGTAACAGTTCTTTATTATCCTGGGCTGGAAGGTGATTTGTGGATGTCTTGGTTTGAACAGACAGGTTCTGCTAAGGAAGGCAGCAAATGGAAAATTTAAACTCCCCTCCCTCTAAATTATTATAAATTTGAAATTAAGGGGCTCTCATGCAAAGATATGGGAATAGGAGTAACAGTTCTTTATTTAATTTTGAGCTGGAAGGGGATTTGTGGGTGTCTTGGTTTGCACAGACAGGTTCTGTTCAGGAAGGCAGGAGGTCCCCCTGAAATGGGAAATGTAAACCCCCTCTGTCCAGATTATTATAATTTTAAAATTAAGAGGTTCTCAGGAAAAGATATGGGAATAGGAATAGCAGTTCTTTATTATCCTGAGCTGGAAGGTGAATTGTGGATGTCTTGGTTTGAACAGACAGGTGTGTGCTAAGGGAGGCAGGAGGCCCCCCTGAAATAGGAAATGGAAACCCATATATTGATATTTTATAAAATATATTTAATATATATTTTATATAAAAATATAAAAAATATTTTACAATAATTTACAATTATTTACAATGATAAATAGGAAATGGAAACCCATATATTGATATTTTATAAAATATATTTAATATATATTTTATATAAAAATATAAAAAATATTTTACAATAATTTACAATTATTTACAATGATAAATAGGAAATGGAAACCCATATATTGATATTTTATAAAATATATTTAATATATATTTTATATAAAAATATAAAAAATATTTTACAATAATTTACAATTATTTACAATGAGTTATTTTTACAATAATTTATATTTTATAAATGTAATTGATTTATATATTATAGTTTATAAATATAACTATACATTTATATATTACATATTATGCAAATATATAAAATATGCAAAACTATATATGTATATTTAGATATTTATATTTTATAAAATATATTAAATCTCTATTTTCTATATTTTATATTAAAATATATTTTACAATTATTTACAATGAGTTATTTTTTCAATAATTTATAATTTATAAATATAATTTCTTTATATATTATATTTTATAAATATAATCATATAGTTATATATTTATATATTATATAAATATATAAAATATGCAAACCTATATTTATATATTTATATATAGACATTTTATAAAATATATTAAATATATATTTTATATTAAAATATATTTTACAGTAATTTACAATTATTCACAATGAGTTACTTTTACAATAATTTATATTTTATAAATATTAATTTTTATATATTATATTATAAATATAATTATACATTTATATATTTATATATAATATAAATATATAAAATATGCAAACCTATATATGTATATTTCTATATTTATATTTTATAAAATATAATGAACATATTTAATATATTTTATATTGAAAATATAAAATATAATTTACAATTATTTGCAATGAGTTATTTTTGCTACAAGAATGTCAACAGCAGAAGGCTTAGAAAATCTTAAAAAATCAGGGTGTGACACTTGGGCACATGCAGGGTGTGAATGTGCCCTTCTGTGCCCTCTGCAGACGTGAACTCCCGCTCTGCCCGCGTGCTGTTCCTGCTGGTGGTGCCCGGGCACCTGGTGTTCCTCTACACCATCCACTCCATGCAGGGGGGGCACACCACGCTCACCCTCATCTTCATCGTCTTCTACATGACAGCAGCGCTGCTCCAGGTGAGCTGGGAGCCTCAGGGACGCGGGTGGCACCTGCCCAGGCGTGCCTGTCCCTGCCCAGAGATGCTGTGCTGGGCAGAGGGATCCCTCAGGAGCTCCTTCGTGGGCACCTGAGCACACAATTCTTCCATCCTGCCATTCCTGGGGAGCTTAAAATCCGCATTTTGTCTCTTTTTAAAGTTTTTTTGGTAGCCAAAGTGTGCTAATCTGTCCTGGGGGGTGATTTGGCAATTTGGAAAGGCCTGGTGAGGAAAAGAGGATGTGCAATTTTTCAGGAACGTGTGCCCTGTGCTGCCCTTTGCCCTGGCATTCCCTGGGGCTGGGGGAGCCCACAGGGCTGTGAGGGACACACGGACCAAAGCTTGGGAGGACCCACTGCAGATTTTGTTGTGCCCGTGGGGTTAATTGTGCCCATGGGGTTGTTAACCCTGTGGGGTTAATTGTGCCCATGGGTTTAATTATGACCAGGGGGTTAATTGTGGCCCATGGGGTTAACTGTGGCCTGTGGGATTGTTGTTCCCATGGGGTTGTTGTTCATGTGGGGTTGTTGTGCCCACGGGGTTAATTGTGGTCCATGGAGTTGCTGTGGGGTTGATTGTGGCCATGGGGTTGTTGTGGGGTTGTTGTGGCCCACGGGGTTAATTGTGGCCTATGGGGTTGTTGTGGGCTGTGGCGCTGTTGTGGCCTGTGGGGTTAAATGTGGCTATGGGGTTGTTGTGGGGTTAATTGTAGCCTGTGGGGTTAATTGTGCCCATGGGGTTGTTGTGGGGTTGCTGTGGCCTTTGGGGTTGCTGTAGCCCATGGGGTTAATTGTGCCTGTGGTGTTAATTGTGGCCATGGGGTTGTTGTGACCTTTGGGGTTGTTGTGGCCACAGGGTTGCTTTGTTCTGCCCCTGGGATTGTTGTGGCCCATGGGGTTAATTGCGGCCATGGGTTAATTGTGGCCATGAGGTGGTTGTGGCCATGGGGTTGTTACAAGATTAATTGTGGCCCATGGGGTTGCTGTGGCCTTTGGGGTTGTTGTGGCCCATGGGTTAATTGAGCCCATAGGTTTGTTGTGCCCATGGGGTTATTGTGGCCCACGGGGTTAATTGTGGCCATGGGGTGGCCCCTGGGGTGGTTGTGGCCACAGTGTTGCTGTTTCCACAGGGTGGATGTAGCCCATGGGGTTACTTTGGCCCATGGGGTTGTTGTTCCCATGGGGTTGTGCTCCCCTAGGCCAGGCAGGGCCGCAGTGTGGGGTTTGCAGGGTTGCTATGGGGTTTGCAGGGCCGCAGTGTGGGGTTTGCAGGGCCGCAGTGTGGGGTTTGCAGGGTTGCTATGGGGTTTGCAGGGCTGCAGTGTGGGGTTTGCAGGGTTGCTATGGGGTTTGCAGGGCTGCAGTGTGGGGTTTGCAGGGTTGCTATGGGGTTTGCAGGGCCGCAGTGGGGCTGCAGGGCCGCAGTGTGGGGTTTGCAGGGCCACAGTGGGGTTTGCAGGGCCACAGTGGGGTTTGCAGGGCCGCAGTGTGGGGTTTGCAGGGTTGCAGTGTGGGGTTTGCAGGGCCGCAGTGTAGGGTTTGCAGGGTTGCTATGGGGTTTGCAGGGCCGCAGTGGGGCTGCAGGGCCGCAGTGTGGGGTTTGCAGGGTTGCTATGGGGTTTGCAGGGCCGCAGTGTGGGGTTTGCAGGGTTGCTATGGGGTTTGCAGGGCCGCAGTGTGGGGTTTGCAGGGTTGCTATGGGGTTTGCAGGGCCGCAGTGTGGGGTTTGCAGGGTTGCTATGGGGTTTGCAGGGCCGCAGTGTGGGGTTTGCAGGGTTGCTATGGGGTTTGCAGGGCCGCTGTGGGATATTTAGGGCCGCAGTGTGGGGTTTGCAGGGCCACAGTGGGGTTTGCAGGGCCGCAGTGTGGGGTTTGCAGGGCCGCAGTGTGGGGTTTGCAGGGCCGCAGTGGGGCTGCAGGGCCGCAGTGTGGGGTTTGCAGGGCCGCAGTGTGGGGTTTGCAGGGTTGCTATGGGGTTTGCAGGGCTGCAGTGGGGTTTGCAGGGTTGCTATGGGGTTTGCAGGGTTGCTGTGGGGCTGCAGGGCTGCAGTGGGGTTTGCAGGGCCGCAGTGTGGGGTTTGCAGGGCTGCAGTGGGGCTGCAGGGCCGCAGTGTGGGGTTTGCAGGGCCGCTGTGGGATATTTAGGGCCGCAGTGTGGGGTTTGCAGGGTTGCTGTGGGGCTGCAGGGCTGCAGTGGGGTTTGCAGGGTTGCTATGGGGTTTGCAGGGCCGCAGTGGGGCTGCAGGGCCGCAGTGTGGGGTTTGCAGGGCCGCAGTGTGGGGTTTGCAGGGTTGCTATGGGGTTTGCAGGGCTGCAGTGGGGTTTGCAGGGTTGCTGTGGGGTTTGCAGGGCCGCAGTGGGATATTTAGGGCCGCAGTGTGGGGTTTGCAGGGCCGCAGTGTGGGGTTTGCAGGGCTGCAGTGGGGTTTGCAGGGTTGCTGTGGGGTTTGCAGGGCCGCTGTGGGATATTTAGGGCCGCAGTGTGGGGTTTGCAGGGTTGCTGTGGGGTTTGCAGGGTTGCTGTGGGGCTGCAGGGCTGCCGTGTGGGGTTTGCAGGGCCGCAGTGGGGTCACACAGGGGCTCAGGGCTGTGCTGCCGTGGCTCTTGCAGGTGCTGATCCTGCTCTACATCGCAGACTGGATGGTGCACTGGATGTGGGGCAGGCACCTGGACCCCGACAACTTCTCCATCCCGTACCTGACAGCCCTGGGGGACCTCATTGGGACGGGGCTGCTGGCCCTCAGCTTCCACCTGCTCTGGCTCATCGGGGACAGGGACTCCGATGTTGGGGATTAAACCTCCCTGCTCCTCCCTTCCCACAGCTCTCCTCCTTCCATTTGTTGTTTCTTTGCTTGTCCCCCTCCTGTCCTGCCACCCCCCACCCCCTGGAAGATTTCACCTTTGATACTGGATTCTCATTATTTTCAATGGGAATTTTACCTGGTTTATATTTCAAGCCGAGTTTGTAAAAAAAGAAAAATCTTATCTAGTTTTGGGAAGGACAGACAAACAAACAAACAAAAAGTGTAACGAGACAATCACTAAGTGCAATTTTTGTAGCAGTTGTGTCCGAACCAAGGTTCCAGTTAAGTTCCTGCTCGGTCAGGTCATGCAGGGAGCCCCCCCTGCCCCCTCCCTCGAGGTTCAGGGCTGCTTTTTTCGCTTCATAAGCGTTTTTTAAACCCTGCAGGTGGAGCTCAGGTCTGCCCAGCTGAGCTGGCGCCTTCCAGCCAAGCACAACCTCACGGCCCAGGGCACGGGGTAGCCCTGAAAGGAGGATCCAGCCTGGGCCCACACCCAGAAATGGGGAGTGTCTGTGAGGGGGGATGAGGAGGATGGTGAGGAAGGCTCCTGTGTTCAGCACAGGAATGTGAGTGAGCAGGCTGGGCTCTGCTGGAATCTCCAGGCTCCTTTTTGCCACCCACCCCAGAGTGCAGCATGCTGTTCCAGCCTTGGCTCTGAGCCTGGCCTAGAGGGGCTGAGGACCCTCCCCACCCATCACCATCACCATCCTCCTGCCCAGGGATCCCTCCTGGTGCTGCTCCATTCCCTGGCTGACCTTCCCAGAGGGGTGGATGGACAAACAGCTCCTGGGTTTTGTGCCCAGGTTTCCTTTTGGGGTGCTGAGGGGCTCCTTGCAGGCAGGAAAAGCCACCCAGCATCTCCCCAAGGTGAGCCTGGCCTCTCCCAGCTGGGCAGGAGCATTTTGCTGCTGGTGTCTGTCAGGGAAGGACATCCATGGGATTATTGTGCCAGCTGGAAATGCAGGATCACACACAGGGGCCTGGCTCTTGGAGCAGGAACAGGAACCAACCCCCTGCCCTTGTGTAAAATCTGGGATTTTTGGGGCAGAGTTCTCTCCTCTGCTGCTTCCCCTCCTGCTTTTTGTGGAATTCCTGCTCTTCCCCTTAGGCCGTGCTGGGAGGGCAGGAAAAACCCACAGCAAGTGCAGCCAGAGGGGCAAACCAAGACCAAAGTTAGGCCAGGCTCAGTGTGCCAGGCCAGAGCTGGGCCTGGCTCCGGATGGTGCTGATGGAAAGGAGGGGGAGGATGAAGGAGTTCTGCATTTTTGGAAAGGAGGGTCAGGGTGAAGTTCTGGATTGTTGGAAAGGAGGGTCAGGATGGAATTCTGGAAATCCACGGAGCAGATGGAGCCAAACCAGAGCTCCTTGCTGCTCCAGGCCCTCTCTGGAGCTCTGCAAACCCTTCCCTGCTCCAGGCTGCTCCTCCTGAGTTGTATTTTTGAGGTGATTTCCCCCTTTTTTCTCTTGCTAATCCAACATCAGGCTCAGTTTCCCTCCTCCTGTGCTCCTGCGGGAGCAGCTCTGATCCTCCTCTCTCCCCTCTGGTGACATTTCTCAGTTTTCCTTTGGCCAAAACTGTGTCCAAAGGAAAAAACCCAACCACAAAACAAACCCTGTCCCTGCTGTGCTGAGCTCTCAGCCCAGGGAATCCTGGAATATATAATTTTCCTGGAATATATAATTTTCCTGGAATATTATATTCCTGGAATATTGTATTTCCTGGAATATTATATTTCCTGGAATATTATTTTTCCTGGAATATCATTTTCCTGGAATATTGTATTTCCTGGAATATTATTTTCCCTGGAATATTAATTTTCCTGGAATACCATTTTCCTGGAATATTATATTTTTTGAAATAATATTTTCTGAAATATTTCCTGGAATATTCTCAGCTGTTCACCTGATTTCTCTGCCTGATGTTGAGGAATTAAATGCAAGATTTTCTTCCATTAACACTTCAGCTTTTATGGATATAAAGAGAAGCTCTGCTGGCTTTTTTTTTGGTGTCGCATCACCACTTAATCCCCCAGGAAAAAATTCCCTAGAGGAGGAATCTGCCTCTCATGGTGGGGCTGGGGGGGTCTGTACATTAAATATGATCAAAGGTTTGCTTGGGGAATGGTCAGGGAAGAATTTCATTTAAAACTGAGGAATATTGATGGAAAAACAAAACAAAAACAAACCAAACTCTTCCCACTGGTTGCACTCCAATGCATGCCTACTCTACAGCTGCCTGCAGATGAAAATCCTGGTTTACTCTTTTATTACAGGAAAAAAAAAAAGACTGTCTTAATTATTTATAGTTCCTATAACTGACAGATGTCGACCTAATGGATAAATTATATTTGGTTAAATAAAGATGACATTTATTTATGTGGACTATGGGTTTTTTTTCCATCAGGTTGAAGGCCCCACTCAGGGTTTTGAGGTTTATTTGAGCTCAGGGTGAGTTTGAGGTTTATTTGAGCTCTTTTTTGATAGGAGAGTTACGAAAATCAAATAAAGTGCTGGGCATGAGGCAAACTGGGATTAGTGAGAGTGCCAGGTGACCTTGGGCAGGTCCTGGCAGCTCCTGGGGGCTCCCAGCAGGAATTCAGGTGTTTGTTCGGCATCCAGGCCCTGCTGCCACGCGGCCTTTGCCTTTTCCTGCTGATTTTGTGGAATAAAAGGGAATGTAAAAGGGTAAATAAGGGTTTTGGCCCCTTCTGGGGTGCAGAAAAACCCCTGGAGCTGCAGGAATTGGTGTTTTGTTGCAGGAATTGGTGTTTCCCTGCAGGGCTGTGCCTCCAGAGCAGGGTCTTGGTGCAGAATCCTGTGGGGTTGCGAGGTTTTTAGGACAAGGTGAGAGAGGAGAATTTAATTTTAAGTTTTCAGAAGGCTGGTTTATTTTATATTTTATTTTATATTTTTATTTTTTGATATTATATTTATTTTATATTTTATTATATTAAAAGAAATTATATACTAAAACTATACTAAAGAAAGAGAAAGGATACATCAGAAGGCTAGAAAAGAATAAATAATAAAAACCTGTGACAGGCTCAGAAGGTTTGACACAGTTGGCTGTGATTGGCCATTAAATTGAAACAATTCACATGCTGGGTAAACAATTTTCTAAATTGGGGGTGTATGGGGCTGGATCTGGGGGTGCAGGGGGTGTGCAGGGCAGAGTTTGGGGGTGTATGGGGCAGGATCTGGGGGTGCACAGAGCAGGGTCTGGGGGAACAGGGGTGCATGGGGCTGCCTCTGGGACTATATGGGGGTGCAGGGGGTGTGCAGGGCAGAGTTTGGGGGTGTATGGGGCAGGATCTGGGGGTGCGCAGAGCAGGATGTGCTGCCACAGGATGTGCAGGGCTGGGTCTGGGGGTGCACAGAGCAGGATCTGGGGGTGCAGGGGGCTGGATCTGGGGGTGCATGCACAGAGCAGGATCTGGGGGTGCAGGGGGCTGGATCTGGGGGTGCACAGAGCAGGATCTGGGGGTGCAGGGGGCTGGATCTGGGGGTGCATGCACAGAGCAGGATCTGGGGGTGCAGGATGTGCAGGGCTGGGTCTGGGGGTGCAGGGGGCTGGATCTGGGGGTGCATGCACAGAGCAGGATCTGCTGCCACAGGGAGTGCGCAGAGCAGGATCTGGGGGTGCAGGATCAAGATCTGAGGGCGCACAGAGCAAGGTCTGGGGATACAGGGGACATGCACGGCTGGATCACAGAGCAGATCTGGGGGTGCACAGGGGATGTGCAGGGCTGGATCTGGGGGTGCACACAGCAAGATCTGGGGGTGCACAAAGCGGGTCTGGGGACACAGGATGTGCAGGGCTGGGTATGGGGGTGCACAGAGCAGGATCTGCTGCCACAGGGGGTGCACAGAGCAGGCTCTGGGGGTGCACAAGGCAGATTTGGGGGTGGATAGAGCAGATCTGGGGGTGCACAGAGCAAGATCTCTCACAAGGGATGTGCAGGGCTGGATCTGGGGGTGCAGAGAGCAGGATCTGGGGGTGCACAGAGCAAGGTCTGGGACTACAGGGGATATGCATGGCTGGATCACAGAGCAGAACTGGGGGTGCATACAGCAGGATCTGGGGGCGCACACAGCAGATCTGGGGGTGCACAGAGCTGGGGATGTGCAGGGCTGGGTCTGGGGGCGCACACAGCAGGATATGGGGGTGCAAAGAGAGGATCTGGGGTTGCACAGAGCAAGGTCTGGGACTACAGGGGCCATGCATGGCTGGATCACAGAGCGGATCTGGGGGTGCACAGAGCTGGGGATGTGCAGGGCTGGATTTGGGGTTGCACAGAGCAGATCTGGGGGTGCACCCAGCAGGATCTGCTACCACAGGGGGTGCAGGGAGCGGATCTGTGGGCGCACAGAGCAGGATTTGGGGGTGCACAGGGCTGTGGGTGCAGGGGGCTGGATCTGGGGATACAGGGGACGAGCAGGGCTCATCCCCTGTCTGGGGTTGCACAGAGCAGATTTGGGGGTGCACACAGCAGGATATGGGGGTGCAAAGAGCGGATCTGGGGTCGCACAGAGCAGATTTGGGGGCGCACACAGCAGGATCTGCTGCCACAGGATGTGCAGGGCTGAACCTGGGGGCGCACACAGCAGGATGTGGGGGTGCACAGAGCAGGATCTGGGGGTGCACAGAGCTGGAGATGTGCAGGGCTGGATCTGGGGGTGCACAGAGCGGATATGGGGGCGCACACAGCAGATCTGGGGGCGCACACAGCAGGATGTGGGAGTGCGCAGAGCTGGAGATGTGCAGGGCTGGGTCTGAGGGCCGCACACAGCAGGATCTGAGGGTGCACGGAGTGGATCGGGGGGTGCATACAGCAGGATCTGGGGGTGCACAGAGCAGGATCTGAGGGTGCACGGAGTGGATCGGCGGGTGCATACAGCAGGATCTGTGGGTGCACAGAGCAGGGTCTGGGGGCGCACAGAGCTGGAGATGTGCAGGGCTGGATTTGGGGTTGCACAGAACAGATTTGGGGGTGCACAGCGCAGATTTGGGGGCACCCAGAACAGGATCCGCTGTCACGGGGGATGTTCCGGGCCCCATCCGGCCCCGGCGGAAGGCACCGAACTACAGCTCCCGGCAGCCCCCGCGCTGCCCCGGCTGAGGCTCACATGAGCGAGCGGGGCCGGGCCGGGCCGGGATGGGGCAGCGCGATCGGATGTTCAAGGTGCTCGTGGTGGGCGACGCCACGGTGGGCAAGACCTCGCTGGTGCAGCGCTACGCCAACGACAGCTTCAACCGGCACTACAAATCCACCGTGGGCGGTGAGCGCGCCGGGCTAACGGGGACACCGGCGGTTATCGGGGCTACCGGGGGGTTGCCGAGTGGGTACCGGGGGTTATTCAGTGGCTACCGGGGGGGTCCTTGGGGGTTACCGATTGGTTAGCGGGGGGGTTCCCTGGGGTTATCGGGGGTTGCCAGGGGGTTACCGGGGGGTTTCTCGGGGGTGCCTGAGGTTACCGGGTTGTTCTCGGGGGTTCTCGGGGCGTTTCCGGGTGTTTATCGGGGGGTTACCGGGGGGTGCCCTGGGGTTACCGGAGGGTTACCGGGGGGTTCTTGGGGTTTTTCTGGGGTTCTCGGGGGGTTACCGGGGGGTCCTTGGGGTTACCGCGTGGTTACTGGGGGTTCTCGGAGGGTTTCCGGGTGGTTATTGGGGGGTTCTCGGGGGATTATTTGGGGTGCCCCATCCTTCTCCCAGCCCCTGGAATAACCACCCCAGGAGCTGTAAGATGGATAGGCTGAGGTTCCAGGCTCAGCTTATCCCAGTAAAACCATCAGCAGCACTGGTTTGGCATTAATTGAACAGCCCTGAAGCCCTCAGGAGCTTCTCTCCCTCTGCCAGGTTCATTTGGGGTGCCCCTACCCCTTGGCATAACCACCCCAGGAGCTGTAGGATGGATAATCTGAGGTTCCAGGCTCAGTTTATCCCAGTAAAACCAGCAGCAGCGCTGGTTTGGCTTTAGTTAAACAGCCTGGCCTCGTTGCTGAGGGGTCAGCAGCTCTTGGGAAGCTCTGGGAGAAGGAGGCTGGGAATGGGGCTGAGCAGGATTTGGGTTCTTTGTGTGAATGAATGACCTGCAAGGAGCAGGAGCTGCCAAGGCTTTACCCAGGAAATCTCCTCAAGGACCCAAAATCGAGCACAGCTGTTTAAATCTTCTTATTCCTGAGCTGAGAGGGGATGGATTAGAGGTGAGAACTCCAGAGAGGCACAGAGCTCTGCTCTCTCCCAGCAGGAAATGCTGCAGGCTGCTTCCTGGGACTTTTCTTTTTGTGCTTTCTTCCTGCTTTTGGTCAGTTCCAGCCCAGCTGGGTCTGGCTGCCAGGTTGAAACCCTGACACATCTGAGAACAGCACAGGGCTTCCCCTTCTGACTCACTGGTGACAGCAAAGATGGGGTGATTCAGCTTGGAAGGGACCTCACACCTCTGACCCCATGGGCAGGGACACCTTTCCCTGTCCCAGGTTAATTTGGGGTGATTCAGCTTGGAAAGGACCTGACACCTCTGACCCCATGGGCAGGGACACCTTTCCCTGTCCCAGGTTAATTTGGGGTGATTCAGCTTGGAAAGGACCTCACATCTCTGACCCCATGGGCAGGGACACCTTTCCCTGTCCCAGGTTAATTTGGGGTGATTCAGCTTGGAAAGGACCTCACATCTCTGACCCCATGGGCCAGGACACCTTTCCCTGTCCCAGGTTATTATGGGGTGATTCAGCTTGGAAAGGACCTCACATTTCCTCTGACCCCATAAACAGGGACACCTTTCCCTGCTCCAGGTTAATTTGGGGTGATTCAGCTCAAAAGGGACCTCTCATCTTCTCTGACCCCATAATCAGGGACACCTTTCCCTGTCCCAGGTTGCTCCAAGCCCCGTCCAGCCTGGAGCTGTGCTTGGGCTGCTGACCCTGGTGCAGGGTTTGGGAGGGCTCTGGGACATGGGGAGAGGCAGTGCAGGTGCAGAATGGCCCTGAGCAGATTTCCTTTCCTTTCCTTTCCTTTCCTCCCTGCTTTTTTGGGAATTCTCCAGTGGATTTTGCCCTGAAGGTGGTTCAGTGGTCGGAGTCGGAGACGGTTCGGCTGCAGCTCTGGGACATTGCAGGTACTGGCAAGGTTTTTTCCATGTTCTCAACGTTTTGGCCTTTTTTGCCTTCCTTTTCCTTTTTCCCTTTTCCCTTTTCCCTTTTCCTCTTTCCCTTTTCCTCTTTCCCTTTTCCCCTTCCCTTTTCCCCTTCCCTTTTCTCCTTTCCTTTCCTTTCCCTTTCCCTTTCTCTTTCCCTTTTTCCTTTCCTTTCCCTTTTTCCTTTCCTTTCCCTTTTTCCTTTCCTTTCCCTTTTCTCTTCCCTTCCCTTCCCTTCTTTTTCCTCCCCTTTCCTTTCCTCCTCTCCTCTTTCTTCCCATTCCCTTTCCCATTCCCGTTCCCCCTTTCTCTTCCTTTTCCTTCTCTCCAAAAACAACTCCCAGCTGCCTGTGGATTCCAGGGCAGGGCTGCTCTGCTTTGCTGCCTCCAGCCTGCTGTAATAATTTAAATATTTAATTAAAAATCCACCTGTGAGGAATGCCCACAGTAATTCCTGCTGAGCCTTTCCCCTCTGTGCCAGAGCAGAGGAAATGTGGAACTGGCTGGACATGAGACTGCTCAGCTCCAAATTTTGGGTTAAAACCCAAATTTCCGGCACGAGGCACACTCTGAGTGACAGAATTATAAAAGCTGGAGTGGACAAGGAGCTGGAGAGGGGCAGAGAAAGGAATTTCCCAAATTCCCTGGCACCAGGAGAGCTGTGGGCAGCAGCAGCAGCAGCTCTGAAATGGCCCCTGTGGATGTGGAGCAGGGAGGAGAGCAGGGCTGTGGTTTCCTCTGCCCGGGATCCTTAAAATGGCATCAGGAAGGAGAAGTTGGCAGAGTCAGCAGTGCAGCAGGAAACTTTCGGTTTTGGCCCCAAAAAGGAGCTGGAGGTGGGGGAGCAGAGCTGGCACTGTGCCCCTGTGGTGCCCAGGGACACCCAGGGGGCCTCAGGGCGCTGGGATACGGGGAAATAATGCAAATATTGGGGCACGGGGTTTTATGGGAATAATGGAAATATTGGGGCACTGGATTCCAGGGGAATAATGCAAATATTGGGGCACAGGGTTATATGGGAATAATGGAAATATTGGGGCACGGGGTTATATGGGAATAATGCAAATATTGGGGCACAGGTTTACGGGGGAATAATGCAAATATTGGGGCACAGGGTTATATGGGAATAATGGAAATATTGGGGCACTGGTTTACGGGGGAATAATGCAAATATTGGGGCACAGGGTTATATGGGAATAATGGAAATATTGGGGCACGGGGTTATATGGGAATAATGGAAATATTGGGGTGCCCCATCCCTAGGCAGTGGGTTACAGGGGAATAATGCAAATATTGGGGTGCTCCATCCCTGGGGACACCCTGAGTTCCGTGGGAATAATGCAAATATTGGGGCACAGGGTTATATGGGAATAATGGAAATATTGGGGCACTGGTTTACGGGGGAATAATGCAAATATTGGGGCACAGGGTTATATGGGAATAATGGAAATATTGGGGCACTGGGTTATATGGGAATAATGGAAATATTGGGGTGCTCCATCCCTGGGCACTGAGTTACAGGGGAATAATGCAAATATTGGGGTGTCCTGGCACTGGGTTACAGGGAAATAGTGCAGATATTGGGGTACTGGTTTACAGGGGAATAATGCAAATATTGGGGTGCTCCATCCCTGGGACACCCTGAGTTCCATGGGAATAATGCAAATATTGGGGCACTGGTTTACAGGGGAATAATGGAAATATTGGGGTGCTCCATCCCTGGGGACACCCTGAGTTCCGTGGGAGTAATGCAAATATTGAGGCACTGGGTTAGATGGGAATAATGGAAATATTGGGGTGTCCTATCCCTGGGGATACTCCAGTTCCATGGGAATAATGGAAATATTGGGGCACTGGGTTATATGGGAATAATGGAAATATTGGGGTGCTCCATCCCTGGGCACTGAGTTACAGGGGAATAATGCAAATATTGGGGTGTCCTGGCACTGGGTTACAGGGAAATAGTGCAGATATTGGGGTACTGGGTTCCAGGGGAATAATGGAAATATTGGGGTGCTCCATCCCTGGGACACCCTGAGTTCCATGGGAATAATGCAAATATTGGGGCACTGGTTTACAGGGGAATAATGGAAATATCGGGGTGCTCCATCCCTGGGGACACCCTGAGTTCCGTGGGAGTAATGCAAATATTGAGGCACTGGGTTAGATGGGAATAATGGAAATATTGGGGTGTCCTATCCCTGGGGATACTCCAGTTCCATGGGAATAATGGAAATATTGGGGCACTGGGTTATATGGGAATAATGGAAATATTGGGGTGCTCCATCCCTGGGCACTGAGTTACAGGGGAATAATGCAAATATTGGGGTGTCCTGGCACTGGGTTACAGGGAAATAGTGCAGATATTGGGGTACTGGGTTCCAGGGGAATAATGGAAATATTGGGGTGCCCCATCCCTGGGCACTGGGTTAGATGGGAATAATGGAAATATTGGGGTGCCCCATCCCTGGGCACTGGGTTAGATGGGAATAATGGAAATATTGGGGTGCCCCATCCCTGGGCACTGGGTTAGATGGGAATAATGGAAATATTGGGGTGCCCCATCCCTGGGCACTGGGTTAGATGGGAATAATGGAAATATTGGGGTGCCCCATCCCTGGGCACTGGGTTAGATGGGAATAATGGAAATATTGGGGTGCCCCATCCCTGGAGACACCCTGAGTTCCATGGGAATAATGCAAATATTGGGGTGCCCCATCCCTGGAGGTGTCCCAGCCCACCCTGCCCATTGGGTGATCTTTGGTTCTTTTTAACCCAGACAAACCTGGTGTGTATTTTGTGTGTTTCTCTGTGTGTTTGTATGATTTTTGTGTGTTTTTGTGCGTTTCTCTGTGAGGTTTTGTATGGTTTTTGTGTGTTTCTCTATGACTTTGTATGATTTTTGTGTGGTTTTTTTGTGTTTCTCCATGTGTTTGTGTGTTTCTCTGCATTTCTGTGTGGGGTTTTGTGTATTTTTGTGTGTTTCTCTGTGTCTTTGTGTGTATTTTGTGTGTTTCTCTGTGGATTTGTATGGTTTTTGTGTTTCCCTGTGGGTTTGTACAATTTTTGTATTTCTCTGTGGGTTTATGTGTTTCTCTAGGGGTTTGTGTGTTTCTATGTGTGGTTTTTGTGTGTTTCTCTGTGTTTCTGTGTGGGGTTTTGTGTGTATTTTGTGTGTTGCTCTGTTTCTCTGTGGGTTTGTATAGTTTTTATGTGTTCCTCTGTGGGTTTGTATGGTTTTTGTGTGTTTTCATGTGTTTCTCTGTGGCTTTGTGTGTTTTTGCATGTTTCTCTGAGGGTTTGTATGTTTCTCTGTAGGTTTTCGTGTGTTTGTAGGGTTTTGTATGTTTCCCTGTGGGTTTGCGTGTTTCTGTGCGTTTCTCTGTTAGTTTGTGTGTTGCTATGTGTGTTTTTGTATGTTTCTCCGTATGTTTCATGGTTCTTGTGTGTTCCTCTGTGGGTTTGTGCAGTTTTTCTGTGTTTCTCCGTGGCTTTTCCACGATTCCATGACCTGATTGGTGTCCAGCCCAGAGATTCTCAGCCAGCCCACGTCCCAAATCCCCTCACAAACCAGAAATCCTCACTTCTAGCTGCAAATCCACCCCACAAACGCCCAATCTACCTAGCTAACACCCCCCAAACACCCAATCCACCTGCACAGCCCCCCCAAAATACCAACCCTGGCTGGCTTTCTCTCTGGTTCTGACCCAAGGGCAGGAACGTTTCACCTCCATGACCCGCCTGTACTACAGGGAGGCCTCGGGCTGTGTCATCATGTTCGATGTCACCAACAGCAGCACCTTCAGCAACAGCCACAAGTGGAAGCAGGACCTGGACAGCAAACTGGCGCTGCCAGACGGGAGCCCCGTGCCCTGCCTGCTGCTGGCCAACAAGGTGGGCAGCCTGCCCGGGATGGGGGTTTTGGGGGGTTTTTGGGGGGTTTTGTGTGGTTTTCTGTGGTTTTTGTGTGTTTCTGTTTGGGTTTTTGTATGGTTTTTGTGTGTTTCTCTACGGGTTTGTATGGTTTTTGTGTGTTTATGTGTGGGTTTTTTGTGTGCTTCTGTGTGGGTTTCTGTGTTTTTTGGTGTGTTTCTCTGTGGGCTTGTGTGTTCTTTGTGGGGGTTTGTGTGTTTTTTGTGTGTCTCCATGTGGTTTTTTGTGTGTTTGTGTGTTTTTGTATGGTTTTTGTGTGTTTATGTGTAGGTTTTTTGTGTGCTTCTGTGTGGGTTTCTGTGTTTTTTGGTGTGTTTCTCTGTGGGCTTGTGTGTTCTTTGTGGGGGTTTGTGTGTTTTTTGTGTGTCTCCATGTGGTTTTTTGTGTGTTTGTGTGTTTTTGTATGGTTTTTGTGTGTTTCTGTGTGGGTTTCTGTGTTTTTTGGTGTGTTTCTCTGTGGGCTTGTGTGTTCTTTGTGGGGGTTTGTGTGTTTTTTGTGTGTCTCCATGTGGTTTTTTGTGTGTTTGTGTGTTTTTGTATGGTTTTTGTGTGTTTCTCTGTGTGTTTCTGTGTGGGGTTTTGTGTGTCTCTGTGTGTTTTTGTATGGGTTGGTTTTTATGTGTTTCTCTCTGTGTTTGTGTGTTTCTCTGTGTGTTTTTGTATGGGTTGGTTTTTGTGTGTTTCTCTGTGTTTTTGTGTGTTTCTCTCTGTGTTTTTGTGTGTTTCTCTCTGTGTTTGTTTCTGTGTAGGTTTGTGTGTTTCTGTGTGGATTTTTGTGTGTTTTTTGTGTGCTTCTCTGTGTTTCTCTATGGATTTGTATGGTTTTTGTGTGTTCCTCTGTGTGTTTGTGTGTTTTTCTGTGGGTTTGTACAGTTTTTGTGTGTTTCTATGTGCGTTTTTTGTGTGTTTTGGATCTTTGAATCTTTGGGTTTTTGTGTGTTTTTATGTGTGTTTGTGCGTTTCTCTGTGTGTTTCTATGGTTTTTGTGTGTTTATTTTGTGGGTTTGGAGCGCCCATCCCTGGAGGTGGCACTGAGTGCTCAGGGTGGGGATCGAGCACAGCCTGGACTCGATGATCCCACAGGGATTTTCCTGGAATTCTGTTCTGAGGCAACAACTTTGCCTCAAAGCATCAGGAAAACCTGGAGAGCTCAGGGCCAGGCTCTGCCTCCGTGTCCATCCCGTTGGCATCAGCGCCACCGTGGTGCCACCACACCTGTGCCACCTGCCCTGGGCAGGGAGCCCGGGCAGGTTTGGGATGGAATGGGGTTGGGGAGGCAGATTTGGGATGAGGGATGAGGTTGGAGAGGCAGATTTGGGATTTGATGAGGTTGGGGAGGCAGATTTGGGGTGAGAGATGGGGCTGGGGAGGCAGATTTGGGATTTGATGAGATTGGGGAGGCAGATTTGGGATGGGGGACAGGGCTGGGGAGGCAGATTTGGGATGGGATGGGATTGGGGAGGCAGATTTGGGATTTGATGAGCTTGGGGAAGCAGATTTGGGATTTGATGAGCTTGGGGAAGCAGATTTGGGATTTGATGAGGTTGGGGAGGCAGATTTGGGATGGGGGACAAGGCTGGGGAAGCAGATTTGGGATTTGATGAGTTTGAGGAGGCAGATTTGGGATTTGATGAGCTTGGGGAAGCAGATTTGGGATAAGATGAGCTTGGGGAGGCAGATTTGGGATGGGACAAGGTTGGGATCTCCGTTCCAGGCGTGCCTGACCGAGGTGTGTCAGCACCTGAGATATCAGATAAAGAAATTCCTGCTTGCAACGCCCCAGGGAGAGCCTTGCCCTGGGAGCTGGGAGCTGGCAGGGCTGAGCTGCCTCCCAGGGCCCTCCCAGCTGCAAAACTGGGCAGAAATTCCCAATTCCCAAAGAATCCATGGCCGCCCCATCCCTGGGGGCGTCCCAGGCCGTATTTATTTAATTTATAAATTATTTAATTTATAAATTAAATTCAAATTCCTCCAACCCAAGCCCTTGTGGGATTTTGTGCCCCTAAAATTCCCCGTTTTTCTGCCTTGCAGTGTGACCTTTCCCCGTGGGCGGTGACCAGGGAGGAGATCGACAGGTTCAGCAAAGAAAATGGATTTTCAGGGTGGGTGGAGACGTCTGTGAAGGAAAACAAAAACATCAACGAGGCCATGAGGTAGGAGCAGGGCCTGGGGCTGTGCCCTGGGGTGTTTGAGGGTCCCAGGATGAGAATCTTCACTCCGTGTTTCAGAAGGCTGATTTATTATTTTATTATATTATATATTGTATTATATTTTATGATATATTATATTACAGTAATATAATATAATATAATATAATATAATATAGTATAATACAATATAGTATAATATAATATAATATAATATAATACAATACAATATAATATAATACAATATAATGCAATACAATATAATATAATATAATATTATTATATTATATTATATTTTAATGTTATAGTATGTTATCTTATAATATTATATTGTTATGTTATATTACTTATAATTATGTTATTTATAATATTTATAATTATATTATTTAATTATATATAATATAATGTAATGTAATATAATGTAATGTAATGTAATATAATATGAGAATATTATGTTATGTTATATTATATTATATTATATTAATTATATTAATTATATTTATTATATTATACTATATTATACTATACTATATTATACTATATTATGTTATACTATATTATATTATATTATACTACACTATATTATACTATATTATACTATACTATATTATACTATATTATATTATACTATATTATATTATACTATATTATATTATACTACACTATATTATACTATATTATACTATATTAGCTTTTTATTTATTTCTTTTCTGCACTGCCCAACTCTACAAATGCATTCCCCACACTTCTGACCTTTGCTTTTTTCTTTTTTTTTTAATTTTTAATTTCTTTTCTGCGCTGCCCAGAGCTGCCGATTCAAAAAAACCCCAAAAAACCAAATAAAAACAAAACAAAACACCCCGAAAAAACCAATAAAACCCCAAAAATAAAGCCCCAACTCCGGAATTTTTTTTCCGCAGGGTTCTGATTGAGAAGATGATGTCCTCACCCTCGGGCGACGGCAGCTCCTGCTCTGCTGGCTCTGGGGATTACATCAACATCAGGGAGAGCTCTCCCCCAGGCTGGGCCTGCTGCTGAGGCCGCTGGCACTCTGTGCCCTCATCATCATCATCGTCATCGTCAGCATCATCGTCATCGTCATTGTCAGCACCATCATCGTCAGCATCATCGCCATGCTCACCTGTCCCTGGACTGTCCCGGTTTGGGGGGTTTTCCTGCGGTTCTGAACTCTTCAGTGGCAGCACAGCCCTGGGCAGGGCCTTGGAGCGAGGGGAGGAGGAAGAGGAGGGGGATGTTCCTCATTTGGGAATGGTCCTCATTTGGGAATGGTCCTCATTTGGGAATGGTCCTCATTTGGGAATATTCTTCATTGGGAATGTTCCTCATTTATTAATATTCCTGATTTGGGAATGTTCCTCATTTTGGGAATGGTCCTCATTTGGGAATATTCTTCATTGGGAATGTTCCTCATTTATTAATATTCCTGATTTGGGAATGTTCCTCATTTGGGAATGGTCCTCATTTGGGAATATTCTTCATTGGGAATGTTCCTCATTTATTAATATTCCCGATTTGGGAATGTTCCTCATTTGGGAATAATCCTCATCTGGGAGTATCCCTCATTTGGGAATGTTCCTCATTTGGGAATGTTCCTCATTTTGGGAATATCCCTCATTTTGAATATTCCTGATTTGGGAATATTCCTCATTTGGGAATATTTCTCATTTGGGAATATTCCTCATTTGGGAATATCCCTCATTTTGAATATTCTTCATTTGGGAATATCCCTCATTTTGGGAATATCCCTCATTTTGAATATTCTTCATTTGGGAATATCCCTCATTTTGGGATTATTCCTCATTTTGGGATTATTCCTGATTTGGGAATATTCCTCATTGGGGATATTCCTCATTGGGAATATTGCTAATTTGGGAATATTCCTCATTTAGGAATATTCCTCATTGGGAATAATCGTCATTTGGGAATATTCTTCATTGGGAATATTGCTAATTTGGGAATATTCCTCATTTATGAATATTCCTGATTTGGGAATGTTCCTCATTTGGAAATATCCCTGATTTGGGAATATTCTTCATTTGGAAATATTCCTCATTTTGAATATTCCTCATTGGGAATATTCCTAATTTTGGGAATATTCCCAATTTTGGGAACATTCCTCATTTAGGAATACTCCTCTTTTTGAATATTCCTCATTTATGAATATTCCTCATTTTGAATATTCCTCATTTGGGAACATCCCTCACTGGGAATATTCCTGATTTGGGAACAACCCTCATTTTGAATATCCCTCATTGGGAATATTCCCCATTTTCTCTGCTGCTCTCATGCAGCACAATCCATGTCCAAGCAGTGCCTTGGATTATATTGAATTTTATTTTTGTTTAATTTTGAGCACTTCCCCTCCTGGCAGTGCTGGCCTGGGCTGCCAGAGGGATTTTTTAACTTTCTGCACCTTTACCCCTCCCTTTTGGGGACATTGCAGCAATTTCCTCCCTCCCTGCCCTGGAGGGAGCAGCAGAGCCCCAGAGCTGCTGAGGATGAGGAGCTGGGTGAGCATCGGCACTGAGCAGTTCTGGGGGGGACCCCAAAACTTGGTCAGGAGTTGCTGGGTCCTCCCTGTGGAGCAGGGACCCCAAAATTTGGTCAGGATTTTCTCCTGCCCTTCCTGGAGCAGCACAACCCTCACAATCTGGGTTCTGCCTGTGGAACAGAAACCCCAAAATTTGGTCAGGAACTTCTGCTCTTCTTGGAGCAGCTGGGTTCTCCCTGTGGAGCAGGGACCCCAAAATTTGGTCAGGAGTTGCTGGGTTCTCCCTGTGGAGCAGAGACCCCAAAATTTGGTCAGGAGCTGCTCCTGCCCTTCCTGGACTACAACAAACCTCACTCCCCTGTGGAACAGAGACCCCAAAATTTAGTCAGGAATTTCTGGGTCCTCCCTGTGGAGCAGAGACCCCAAAATTTGGTCAGGAGTTGCTCCTGGCCTAGCTGGGTTCTTTCTGTGGAACAGAAACCCCAAAATTTGTTCAGGATTTTCTCCTGCTCTTCCTGGACCAGAACAACCCTCACTCCCCTGTGGAGCAGAAACCTCAAAATTTGGTCAGGAGTTGCTGGCTTCTCCCTGTGGAACAAAACCCCAAAATTTGGTCAGGAATTGATCCTGCCCTCGCTGGACCAGCTGGGTTCTCCCTTTGGAGCAAGACCCCAAAATTTAGTGAGGAATTGATCCTGCCCTTCCTGGACCAGAACAATCCTCAGTTCCCTGTGGAGCAAGACCCCAAAATTTGGTCAGGATTTTCTCCTGCCCTTCCTGGAGCAGCACAACCCTCACTATTTGGGTTCTCCCTGTGGAGCAGAAACCCCAAAATTTGGTAGGAGCTGCTCCTGCCCTTCCTGGACCAGAAAAATCCTCACTATTTGGGTTCTTCCTGCAGAGCAGAAACCCCAAAATTTGGTCAGGAATTGCTCTTGCCCTCCCTGGACTAGAACAATCCCCACTTCCCTGTGGGGCAGAAACCCCAAAATTTGTTCAGGAGTTGCTCCTGCCCTCCCTGGCCCAGCTGGGTTCTCGCTGTGGAGCAGAAACCCCAAAATTTGGTCAGGATTTTCTCCTGCCCTTCCTGGACTAGCACAACCCTCATTATTTGGGTTCTCCCTTTGGAGCAGCGACCCCAAATCTTGGTCAGGAGTTGTTGGGTTCTCCTTGTAGAGCAGAAACCCCAAAATTTGGTCAGGAGCTGATCCAGCCCTTCCTGGACCAGCACAGCCCTCACTATTTGGGTTCTCCATGTGGAACAGAAACCCCAAAATTTGGTCAGGAAACTGCTCTGCCCTTTTTGGACCAGCACAACCCTCAGTCTCCTGTGGAGAAAAGACGCCAAAATTTGGTCAGGAATTGATCCTGCCCTTCCTGGACCAGCACAGCCCTCACTATTTGGGTTCTTCCTGTGGAGCAGAGACCCCAAAATTAGGCCAAGAGTTGCTCCTGCCCTTCCTGGAGCAGCTGGGTTCTCCCTTTGGAGCAGGGACCCCAAAATTTGGTCAGGAATTGCTGGGTCCTCCCTGTGGGGCAGAGACCCCAAAATTTGGTCAGGATTTTCCCCTGCCCTCCCTGGACCAGCTGGGTTCTCTCTGTGGAGCAGAGACCCCAAAATTTGGTCAGGAATTTCTCTGCTCTTGCAGTACCAGCACAATCCTCAGTTCCCTGTGGAGCAAGACCCCAAAATTGGCTCAGGATTTTCTGCTGCCCTCCCTGGACCAGCAGAATCGTCTCTGTTTGGGTTCTCTCTGTGGAACAGAAACCCCAAAATTGGGTCAGGATTTTTCTGCTGCCCCTCTCTGGGCTGTAAATCCCTTTTGTGGCCCCACAAGGGCCTTTTTGGGCCATCCCAAAGTGCTTTTGGCAAGTGCTGCTCAATTGCTGCAGCCAGGAGGGATTGGGGAGGAAACAGCTCCCTAAAAACCCCCTGCTGCTTTAGTGGGGCTGGAAAAGGGGAGGGAAAAAGGATTTTATGGGATAAAAGGAAATTCCCATTTCCCCTGGTGCCACATCCCCCCAGTTGTTGCTGGTGGAGAGCAGTGCTGGCCAAAAAATTGATATTAATTGAGGAGAATTTATAGGAAATTCCCACTTCAGAGCTGAAATTTTGTGTCTGTATTTTCTGTTCCATGATTTTCTGAGGGGGCACAATCACCCTGCTCAAGTTTTTGGTTTGAATTTTAGCAAAACCCCTTCAATAATTGGGGTTTTTTTACCTCCTTAACTGAGAAACAGGGCTAGAAATTGCTGTGTCCTTGTTTTGCTGAATTAGGATTTCTTTGCTCTGATAAATTATTTTTTCTGTTTTATATAAATGGAGGAGTTGGTAAAACAGGCGCTCAGCACCCTCAGTAAAAAATCTGAGTTTTAATGGGGCTGAGGAAGAGGAGGAGGGAAAAAAAAGATTTTATGGGATAAAAGGAAATTCTGGTGCCACTTTCCCCCAGTTATTGGTGGTGGAGAGCAGTGCTGGCCAAAAATTTGATATTAATTGAGGAGAATTTATAGGAAATTCCCACTTCAGAGCTGAAATTTTGTGTGTTTAATTCAGGATTTTCTGTTCCATGATTTTCTGAGGGAGCACAATCACCCTGCTCGTGTTTTGGGGTTGGATTTTAGCAAAACCCCTTCAATAATTTGGATTTTTTTACCTCCTTAACTGGGAATCAGGGCTAGAAATTGTCCTGGTTTTGCCAAATTAGTTAAATTATTTTTCTGTTTTATATAAATGGAGGAGTTTATAAAACAGGCGCTCATCACCCTCACTGAAAATCTGAGTTTTAGTGGGGCTGGAAAAGAGGAGGAGGGAAAAAAAAAGATTTTATGGGATAAAAGGAAATTCCCTTTTCCTCTGCTGCCACATTCCCCCAAATACTGAGGGTGGAGAGTTTTGGCCAAAAATTTGATATTAATTGAGGAGAATTTATAGGAAATTCCCACTTCAGAGCTGAAATTTTGTGTGTTTAATTCTGTATTTTCTGTTCCATGATTTTCTGAGGGAGCACAATCACCCTGCTCAAGTTTTTGCTTTGAATTTCAGCAAAACCCCTTCAATAATTTGGATTTTTTTACCTCCTTAACTGGGAATCAGGGCTAGAAATTGTCCTGGTTTTGCTGAATTAGGTAAATTATTTTTTCTGTTTTATAGAAATGGAGGAGTTTATAAAACAGGCGCTCATCACCCTCACTAAAAAAATCAGAATTTTCAATCTCTGGAGTTGAAAAGAATTTAAAACTGAACAATGAAGGTTAAAGAAATTTAGAATTATTTCTGCTTAACTATTTTAATGCAAAGTTGGAATACCTGGGCTGTGCAAATATTGGGAAATTTGGGGTTAGAGGTGTTTAAAAATCTCATTTTTTGCACAAAAACAAAATTTTCTCCACAGGGAGAAATGGTTGGCAACAAAATGGAAGCGCCTTGATGAATTTTACTTCATTTTCTTAAATATCAACAAAAAAAAATAAACACAAAAAAGCCCAAAGAAAGAATAAAAAATGGCTTTTAATCCTATAAATATTTAATGCTATCAATATTTCTAGTTCTTTTTA